ACTGGCCGACAGGGGCAAGACATCATAAAGGGGAGGCGGCAGCTGCCGTGCGTAGCAGTAAACGAAAGCAGTGCATCTGCGAGGGTGAAGCACACATGTTATGGAGAGAGAAAAACGCGTTATATAAAAGTCCAGGGTGGTATCTGAGCAAGGGTAGATGAAAGCGAATAGGATACGGAGACTTCCCAACTTCTTTCTGCCCAGAGTGACATGCTTTGTGGAGAGGAAAATGCTAGTTTCAATAACTGAAAACAGGTAAACTATCCACGTCAAAAAAAGATTGAATCTTGACACCTATTTACCTCATACACAAAAATTAATTACAATGGATTGTAGAGCTAGAATTATAGAGAATATCTTTGTGATCTTTATGGCAGGCAAAGTTTTCTTAAACAGCATACAAAAAACACTGACAATAAAAGGAAAAATTGCTAAATTGGACTGATTTAAGCTATAAACATTTGTTCAACAGAAGTTATCATTAAGAGGGTGAGAACGCATGGCACTTAGTAGTAGAACATAACTGTAATGCATACATCCAAGGAAACTGCAGATGGCAGAGTAAAGGGACCCTGCAGAACCTCAGCAGGTTGTCAGAGGCAGGATTAGAACAGGCACCTGGCCTGAGGCCCAAGCCAGCGCTCCAACCGTGTCATCCAGCTCCAGTGCTCAAGTGACTCTTCCAAAGTGAAAAGTGGTGGGACGTAAAGACCATTAAGAAGAACAGGCAAGAGATTTGAAGTCAAATATGGGATATGCATCTTAGGAGATATTCACACAAACGAACATATGTATATATATGTAAAATGTCCATCTGTGTGTATATATATATATATGTGTGTATATATATGTATATACATATACATGTAAGTACATTTATATCTGTCTTATACGTGTATCTGTATATAAACGTACATGTTCACCTGTATAGGTATGTGTGTGGGGGGGGGTGTATATATAAGATCATGTATATATGTCAGTATTTGATCTCTAACCACAAACATGACAACTGAAAAGTCTGTGCCTCAGTTTCCATACTTGTAAATTGGGAATAATAATGCTGTGGGGATTAAAAGTGATGGAAATAAAGTACCACAGTGTCTGGCATAGAACCTTTTGAAAACTTTCAGCAGTAGTGGTTATAATTATAGCAAGGATGATAATGATGATACTGTAACTAATATAATTATTAAATGATAGCTTTATGAGCTGCCGTGCAAGACAGAAAGAGGTGGCAAATCATACTAACTGATTCCAGCACCACAGATATTTTAGCCGACTTCAAAGACTGGGTGCAAATCCGCACCACGGGAACCCGTCCGGAGAGTAATAAGCACTGAGCAGAGAAGAAGGGGTCGTTTAAGAAGCATGAAGTCCCACGAGTAGCGAGGAGCTAAGGGGCAGCTGAGTCCGAGGTCTTTGACTGCAAGGCTGAATGCATCAGGCTCCATACCTCAGGTTTCTGTGGTTTCCTTACTAGTCGGACCTCGGGCACGGGATGTGCAAACCAACAGGTGTCCGACCGGCATCCCCATCCCAGCCAAGTCTTATTATCAGAATCCAATAGAACAGTCCTCCTAAGCTCGTCATCATTCTTCATTCAGGTGAGTGACTAGTCCTTGAGACAGTGGGGAACAGGTCCTGATATGTTTGTTTGAGATCCTGGTGACACCCATACATAGACAGGCCAGAGAAGTAAAGAAGAAAAGAGAGATTTACACAAGCCTAATCCATGTAAACACATTAAATAGGATGAATAGTCTAGCACAGCAGCAAAGCTGTGTCAGCCGGTGCCTACCCCAACCCCTAGGGCAAATGATATTTATTCTGTCAAAACACTGTTCATATGAAGCCTGAATGTATTATTCATTGCTTCAATCCATGGAAGGGACGTCATCGCCAGGTAGCAGGTATCATCCCAGGGGAAATGGAGATCAGTATTTTTGTGCAATCTTTATTTATTCTTCTACTTTTATTCTCATGCCAAACAAATATATTATGATACATGTAGTTAAGGAAAATGACTCACCCAAAGCCCTATCGCAATTGAAATGGCAGATTCGTAATGAAACGGCAGGTCTGTCTCTTCCCGATCTCTTCCACTTACTGCCTCTAAGAAACAATTTTCCATTACAATTTTAGGGCCAGTTTCTAACTAGAATTTTATCTGGTTTTATAGCAATCAAGAAAACAAGATTACAGTGGCAGTTGGAACTTCCTTACTGGCAACAAAAGACTGCTATTTAAATTATGATTTGAGATGAAAAGACAAGACTTCAGGTATTCAATCAATATCTATCAATGTTTAACCTAAACTTCAAAAGGGCAGAAATCATATCCATTCCCTGGCACTCAGGCCAGAGCTTTTAAAAAGTAAGGACTCAACGAATATTTCAATTAAAGCAATGGTTGAAAAATAAAAGACAGAATGAAGCAATGAATGATTATAGCAGGCACTGGAGACATAAAAATGAGCAAGGCTGATGGACAGTGACTGCAACGGGGTTGGAGGGGGGACTTGATAATATGGGCGAATGTTGAAACCAGAATGTTGCCCATGTGAAACCTTTGTAAGACTGTGTGTCAATGATACCTTAATTTTAAAACAAAATTCATGTTGAAGAAATGAGCAAGGCATAAATCTGAGGCTTCAAGAAAGTCAGTACATACATTTATTACTTAATTCATGTTGTCAGCAAATATTTACTTAGAACCTAGTATTTTCCAGGCACTTTGATAAGTACCATGGTAGACAAAACAACCATATTTGTTCCCTAAAGGTGAAGAGATAGTATATGAACAGCTATGGAATAAAACTTAAGTGCTGTGCAGGGGACCGTGAAATAATATAATAGCAAGGCCTAACCAGGATGTAGAAGAGAATGAGGAAAAATTCCAAAAAGCAGCTCCATGAGAAAATTCCATTTGGCTGAATCTTGAGGGTTCTTAAGGGGAAACAGAGACATGACCACCCTGACTGGACAGGCGGGACAAGGAGGAAAAGAAGACAGAGGGGGAGAGGGGTAAAGGGGCCGGTCATGCGGGGCCTCAACCCTCCCGGAGGGTCTCGGACAGTGGGAAGCTGGACAGTGACACGCGCCCACCCACAGCCCATGAAGGCCCCTGGGACACTGGACAGTGACATGGCCACACCTGTATTCCCTGAAGGTAATGGAGAGTTCTGTGGAGAGCAGCTCTGAGGAGGGAATAACAGTAGGTGTTCCTGGGGAATTTTCAGAAAGCCAAAGAGGAAGTAATGGCGTTATCAGAGATACGACAGTGTAAGGCGAGAAGTGTACAGAACTGAGGTTATTTTGGACACAGATTCAAGAACAGACCTTGAGCAGTTAAAGTAACCTTTTGGAACAAATGTCATATCATGTCATAACTCTCCAATACCTTTCCCGTTGGTTAAAAACCGAAGTCCTTACTATGGCCTGCACAGCTTCTCACTGTCCGGCCCCACTCTGTCCTTTAACTCACTACCTATGTTTTTCTCTATCACTTTGCTCCAGACAGGCTGTCATCCTGGATGTGTTTCAAGCACATTAAGCAAGTTTCTCCCTGTAGCCTCTGTCCTTGCCCTTCTCTGTCTGGAGCAGATGTCCTCAGGCATTTGCAAGGATCACTTCCTCACTTCCTTCATCTCTCTGCTGGAATGTCCCTCAATCAGCAAGCTCTTCTCCCATGAATCTGTAATGACTCTCTCCCACGCCCTCCGGCACACTCATCCTTTCTACCCTTCCTTTCCACAGCACCATCATAATCTGATATTCTCTTTAATCATTTGATGACTTTTATATTGCTTGTCTTTCCCAACTAAAATGAGTGGGAACTCCCTGAGGGCAGGGACTGTCATTTCTAGTCACCAATCTGTCCCTCAGAGATGAGCCCAGGTCTTGACATCCTGTCAAGACTTGGGAGGGTCAAAAGTTTGTCCTGTTTGCAAGCTGACAAGTTAGCCGGCCACAGTTAAAGGGGTGCTGGCAGAAGACACACACTCCTGAGTCAGACACATGGGAATCAATTACTCGGCGGCAACAGGCCCAGGGTCAGCATTTGCTGTGGTTTCCCAAGCCCCGCTTTCTGCAGGGTGACATGAAGAGGGCCAAGTGATGTCTACACAGCAAGTGCAGCATGTTACAGGAGAAGGACACCAAGGTTTTCAAAAACCCCTAAACGTTTGAAAAGGGCACTATACTCACCTACACTTTGCCCGGGAGAGAGAATCTTTAATATCCTCACAAGCAGACAAACCTGCCCTTTGCTCCACTTTCAAGGCCATTTGTCACACAGTCATGTTTGAAAAGATGTGAGCCACAGGCAGTGGGTGCCTCCAGTCCCAAGGCAGGCGGAAGCAGGACAGAGGAGAGAGAGGTGCCTCCCAGCAACACACTGCAGACACAGCCCGTGTTTCTGAATGGAGGGTCACACGCTGAGTTAGGCACAGCTACTGTCCCAGTTCTTGGATGACCAGATGGGGACACAGCACAGGTGAAGCACCTGCTCAGGAGCACAGAGCTAGGAGGTGTCTCTGCTGAGCACACTCCAGACCCAAAGCGTGCACACGCCTGAGGAAATGGGGGCCTCCCGACCTCTAACCTGTCCCTCCATCAGTCGCCTTAAGCTCTGTGAATGGGTGACAGAAAAAGAGAGAAAAATAAAAAAGGGAAACACCGAAAAGGAAGAAAGAACAGAAAGGGTTTTGGATATCCACTCTGTTCATATCTCCAGAACTGCAGAGCCCGGGAGGCCCCTGGGTTCACCGTACAGACGAAGAGACTGGAGTTCAGAAAGGCCCCCCACCTCTTCACAGGGCCACCAGGGAGAGAGTCGGCTAACCCACATCCAGAACCCCTTTCCGGGCTGAGCCGCAGCCTTGCACACTTCAGGGCCAAGGTGTGCCTTTCATCTTTCCTACACAGGGGACACGCCCCAGCCCTGCCGGCTGGCCACACCACCGGGTCAATCAATAACCAAGGAGGTCTGTGACCTGGGGCAGCAGGTGGGGCCTGCACCGTCCTCCCAGCCCCAGGCTCTGACCAGAAGGGGTAGGTGCAGTGCCGTTTCCAACTGCTCTCCGGACACAGAACTCTAGCCATGAAGGCCGCAAGCATCTTCCTTCTCGGTGCCTTGGTCCTGCTGAGCCTATCTGGTAGGTATCTTTGCATATTTTTCTGACTTGAGTAAAACCTTTTTGACTTTTTGCTTTACTGGACACATTACCTTCTAAACTTATACAGAGTAGAGTTTCGGACTGATCTTTTGATCCCAATGAGATGAAAGAAGATTCACGGATGAGAATTACAGAAAGAGGGATTTTAACATAACACAAAGACAATTACTTTACTAGTGAGAACAGTTCAGATATGGAAAGGTTGCCCCCTTCTGATAAGGCTGACCCTTTATCAGGGATAAGGTAGAGAAAAGAAGGGATTCTTTCAACCTTAAATACTCTTCTCACTCTGAAAGTTTAAAGACAATTTAAAAGTTTTAAGGTTTCATGAAACTGCATAACATAGATAACAATGCTTTCTAGTAATTCAGCATAAAAGGCAGAGTCTGACTGATTTAAAAATTTATCTTTGACCTTTGCAGGGAAGAGGGAAAATGCTGTTTGTTGTAATTGCTAAACACTTACGGAAGCAGTGGTCCCTTTTCCCCTCCCCATGCATACGAACTGATACAAATAGTTGCCAGTGGAGACCACTTGCTCACCAATTCTCAACCACATCAGGTTCTGGCTATTCCAGGGCCTTCTGCAAGCTCACAGGAGCCCCTCTGCTATTCACATTGAGCTGGACAGAATGATCTCCTTACCCAGATCGACTCGGAGACTGCTGATACTAAAATGAAACCTCACCACCATTTCTTCCTTCGGATACTATCAGATTAGTTCCCCTTCCCTTCAATGAGCTCAGCCACAACTACCATCCCCTACATGATGTTAGCAAGACCTGCTATTTCCTGGGGAGTGCAGCACGGCAATTTTAAGTGTCTATCTGTAGATTCAAGAAATGTGAATTGAACTAATAGTTGCTGCAATGCAGTGGAGGGAGGGAACTCTTTGAGAACCTATGGTGAGTTGTCAAACAAGCTCCATCGTTCAACATTACTTACAAAAGGGAGCTTAAATGTAATTGCAACAGTTAGTTTTACATCACAAGACCTGGTTACTGCTAGGGGTAATTGTTTAACTATATAGCTAGGGTAGCTAATTATATAAACTCTGTATATCTTTGTTTATAAACTGAGATAATAAATCCTTACACTTCCTACATTATTAATTTTGAGATCAAAGGTGTTGTGACAGGCTATGGGAATGTCAGGGCACATTCAGAAGATATTTGTTCACTGCCTGATGCATTTCAAGCAGTAAGTATATCATTTAAATGGGTCCACTTTTCCGAAATACCAAATTGAGATACTGTAGCCATAATCAAATTTTGGCTTAATTTCTTTTAAGGTTTCAACAGGCAGGGAAAGTGAATGGACACCAATGAGAAGCCCTTGAGAGAAGATGGAAATGAGAAGGGGTGGGGATTGGAAGAGCCCAGCAGAGAAGTCCCTGTCGTACATGGAAGCAGAAGATTCTGAATGAGAACAGATTCGGTTTCTCCTCTTTAAGACCCACCCTCACCTGTCTGATTTATGTTTTCTAGGTAACACTAGAGCTGACTTCCTGGGGAGAGAGGTAAGGGCAATTGTAATTTCTTATCTCTCAGACTAGAACCGTCTGTTTCAACCAAAGCTCAGTCTAGATGTCACCTTTCACTTTTGCTTGAAGTCAAGACAAAAAGTATGAAAGTTAGTGAGGTTTAACCTATTAAATGTGAATAGTAATAGAAGTTCCCCCACATGGGCTTATGTTGAAGAACAAATTTACTAATATGCAGGTAATTTCTATATAGTCATATAATAGTTGATGTGAAGGGAATATACATATACACACACCCATCACACACACACACACACAGGCTATCTGCAAGTGCAAGGATTTGGGGTAGAAGCCTTCTTAACCTCATGCCAAGCAGTCCTGCCTCCCTAGAGCCAGTTCAGCCGCATTGGTTTAAAGTTCTCTGATCACCGAGGTGGAGTTCCAACTTAAAATAAGCAAAAGAAACTAAACAATAAACTGGGTTCTTCCTCTAGAAAAATTATATATACATATATATATATGATTTTTATATGTATATTAATATATACACACCTAATTTTAAAAACTATATATCTATATATATAATTTTCCATTTTTTTCCTTTGTTTATAAGGCAAATTTCAATAAACTTGGAGATGGGGGGAAGAAGTATTCCTCTGTCCATTACATTAATACCTAGTGGGGAGGCAGATGACCAACCAAAAGTATATGAGTGAATAAATTGCTACATTTGTGATAGGTGTTATAAAGAAGTTCTGGTCCCATTAGGAACCTAGCCTAGTTAGACAGAACAGGGAAGATGCCCCTAAGTAAGAGATTTATTTCAAGCCATGAAAGGTAAGTGAGTGTTGGCAAAATATAACAGATGGGAAGAAACACAGAATGAAGTGGCTGAGAACTAAAACTCAGGACCCAGATTGACTTGGTTTGAATCCTGAATACAAACTGTGTTTTAACAGCTGTGTGGCCTTCAGTGATTTAATCTGTGCCTCACTGTCTTCATCAGAAGAGTATAAAAAATAGTTCATAGGATTGTTGTGAGGTTTAAATGGAATAATACATAAAAACCACTTAGGACAGTGTCTAGTCTATAACAATCATTTCACAATTACTAGTTGTTACTGATGCAGAGGAAATAAGCTACGCCAAGTCTCCAAGGGGGGGATGTACCTAGTGTCTTCAAGCGGATAAGGGAAGACCGGCGGGACCGGAAGACAGTGTGCAGGCAAGAACATGCCCCAAGTTACGGCTGGCCTGAGAGGAGCCAGCACCTGCAGTGATTAAAACCTGAACATAATCTCGCTCACCTTATTTAAATCTCACAACATCACTATGAGATAGGTGGGGAAAATGATATTGTTTCCATTTTGCAGATAAAGTAACTGAGGCTCAGAGACACTAAGAGATTTACCAACATCACACAATCTGTAAATAGCAGAGGCATTGCTCAAAATCAGGCTTTCTGACTCCAAATCTTGAATTCTTTCTCTTGGAATACCTAGGATCACTCTCCCAATCACAATCATGCTTGCACATTTAAGATGACCAACTCCAGGGCGGTGAAAACTATTTTAGGGATTTTGCTATAAACTCAAAGAATGAAAAATAATCTGTTTAACTCCATTTTTAGGCTAACTGTAACAAAGAAATGACTGGATGTTCCAAGATCTATAAGCCTGTGTGTGGGACTGATGGAAATACTTATTCTAATGAATGCATGTTATGTATTGAAAATCAGTGAGTACAAATTTGAATTTTTTTAAATGTATTTTTTTAAGCTGGGTGTCTTCAAATTTTCATATATCTTATCCCTCTAAGTCCTAATCAATATACTAATAACATTAATCTTACCATAAGAGAAACAAAAAATCTAGTTTTTTTCAAAAATAATTCTCAATCTCTTTTTCTCCTTATTATATATCTGGTATGATTATGTATTGAAGTATGCATGTGTTTGTGTGTATATTATGATAGAAAATAACATTTATTGTGTCAAGCATTGTATGAGGCCCTTAATACTGACAACAAGTCTATGAGGTAAATCATGCTAAGCTCATTATACACATGAAGAAATTGAGACACGGATAGTTTAAATAACTCGTTCGTGATCACTCAGCCACTTGTGGCAGCTCCGGGATTGAACCTGCTGTTTCCACTATGCTTTGAAGTCAAATACCAGACTAAGTATTCGTGAGATACAGAAGGAAATCCAAAATATTTTTTCTCTTAATCTGCATATGCTCAGCATAGTCAATGGAAGTATGAGCAAAGTACTGTGAGAGCAGAAGATGAAAACAGCTAATTATGCTATATAATGTATTTATTATGCTGTTTAGGATTTGGAAAAGTTTGGAGGCTTTCACTAGCTAAAGGGAGAAGGGAAATCCAATAAGAGGAAAAAAAACTGGACAAAAGAGAGAAAGGAATTAATAACCTGGTGCAACATAAAATGTGTTAAGGAAAGGACAATGAAAGAGAGTAGAGAAAGTGTTTGAGTGGTTCTTCCAATTAATAAAAAAAATTACTTGTATGACAAAAAAACCCATACTTTTACAGCAAAACAGGAGATAAGTTGGATTTTTTAAAAGCTCATATGCTCCAAATATTTTACACCTAAAAATTCATTCTTGGTGATAGTAATAAGTATATTTGCTTAAACCCTCAAATATGGGAATATGAATTATATAGATTAGGCGGCCAAAAGCATATTTTTGTAACACTTTCATTTATACATACGAGAGCCAGCTTCACTGGAGATCATTTTCTGAAGTGATGGTAGGTCAGGTGATGGGAATCAGACACAGGCACTAAGAGCAACAGGTTCGCTACAGATTTGCTACCTCTCTCAGTCACTGAGCATCTAACATGTGTCCGGCATTGTGCTTCTCTCCTCTGTTTTCCTTTTGCCCGTGACGAAGAGAAAATAGGTCATGAGTACAAATCGGGTAGCATCTTGTAACTTGTGAAAAATGCCGCCAAATGAGGTTCGAGCCAAGTGCTGCAGACATAGATTTTTTTCTTATTGAAAAGGTCAAGAAAGGACTCATGAAAAGAATGTCATTTAAACAGGGCTCTGAATGTTGGTAGCACTCGAGAAGCATTCCAGGTTAAATCAAGGAATACGGCGATTAAAACAAGTAAAAGAGATTCTACAAGTGACCCGAAAACTCTAAGTTATTCTGGAATTGATTTGGTGTTAAAGAGTCTGATTTTGGCTCAAATGACAGCACACGTTTCCATTATTCCACTGTGTAAGTTCCTTATAACACAAACCCTCTCCTTGATTTGCTTTAAATCATTTCAGAAAAGTCTCAGAGGACAGAGATCCAATAAACTGAAGTTTTAGACCCAAAATATTAGGTGCTCTGCTTTGTGGTGAGTTTATTTCCACATTCAAGAGTTGTAAAAGGATCTTGAAACCACTTGTTAACTTTCTCATAACCTACGCTGTTGACATTGAGGTCAAACATGGTATTTCCATCCAAGGGGAGGAGAAAGCAATAGAACAGCCTTGAGAGCTGGGAAACCCCCAAGTGCCAAGGCCAGAAGGCCTGATTCTCAGGAAGAGACACTGGGCAGGCACGGGCACAGGGCAGGGACGCCCTGTGCCCTGAGCCTCTAAAACTGACCAGTCCTGCTTGCTCTTTCCATTCTTTCAAAAATATGTAAATATGGGACGAACATTGGAGTGCCAGGAAATGTGACCTCTTTTTCTGTATTTCTCAGGTAAGGAAAGAGGTCTGTAGAGAAAATGTGGCATTCTCAAATACAACATATTTTCCAGAGTATCATATTGCCTTTCTCTCTATAGCCCTTTAAAAGCCCCAAACAAACACACTGTACAGTTACCTAGAGCCCGGCTCTAACCTCAGTTGTCGGGTTTTGCGATGGGCAGACAAACACGGTCGTGCATCCCCTTCCTTAATCGTCGTGTGCTTGGCAGACATATGCTGTTAAGGGCTCTTTCTATGTCTTCTATATCTTCTTAGGGAATCTCTACAGGCAAATTATTTTCTATAGACCAACTTCCTTCAGCAGAACTTACCTCTATCTCTGAGCTGCCCAATACAGAAGCCACTAGCCACACCATTAGCACTTAAAATGTGGCTAGTGCGACTGAGAAACTTTTTTTAATTACCTAACTTTAACTGACCTAAATTTAAATAGCTATGAGTGGTTAGTGTCTTCTACCCTATTGCATAGCACAGCTATAGGAAATACGTCAACTTGTGCGCTCTGCTTAGATGTTTGTGTATATGTATGCTAACTGACTCAGAAATAAGTGTTCTGAGTGGTTAATTATTATAGAACAGGAAAACATTAAAACTCTTAAAATGAAGAATCAGCAAGGTCCCAATAAATACATGCATTAAGATGTATAGAAGTCATGCCCTCAAGTAATAGAGAAACAGGAGAATTTTTATAAGCCAGTATATTCATGGAAAGAATTAGAAAAATGAGAGATCTGAAAATAATCTCCTTAGGAACAATTACAGGATTTAGCTTAGAAAAAACAGGTTTGGGAAAGGTGGTATCTGGGAAAAGAGAGGTTTTTATCTGGAAGGGAGAGTGATCAAAGCTGGCAGGTATCACAGAGGATAGAGATAAGATTACTTTTTGCAATATCTCACAGGTTATTAATTACCAGAATTCTAAAACAAATAATCAGTCCATTCGAAGGTCCTACAGTAGCTCAGGCACCAGCTAAGATGGAAACCTGCTGGCTTGGACAATGACATCAGGAGCAGAAGAACCAACAGTGATTAGAAATTGACTTCAGGAGTTTACTGCAACTCCCCACAGATCTGTAAACCCCGTAAGGATGGACATTTTTCCCTTCTGTTGTATCTCTACTGATTGACAGTTCTCAATATCTAATGGATCGATGAACTAGCGAATGAATAAATGAATGAAAGACAGAAATGGGAATATATCTCAAACCACTCAATTTTAAATAAAGCTGATTTTTGAAAATTGTTTTTCTCCCACAGTCACATTTTTGTCATCAAAGTGTAAGCTGATTTTTTTTCCCAATCTCTCCTACAGGGGGCGCCAGGTTGCTGTCCGCATCAAACAATCTGGACCTTGCTGAAAAGCAAGGCTCTGGAATCCCATGGCGTCCCCACAGCGCCCAGCTGGCCTGAGCAGTAAATAAAATGCATACAAGCTCCTCCTGCTGTTCTCGTCTGCTTTGTCCTCAAAGGCAGACACCAGGGACACATACCAGGGAGAGGGGACTGAGGTAGACTCAGAATAGACCAAGTTTTAAAAAATACAGCAATCCTGTCGTTTTGAACAGGATTTGCCTCATAATGCTTTTTCCTTCCCCATCTTCCTCACATTCTGAGGGCTTTTTCTCAGGAAATGTGATTGCCGATGTAACTGACAGGACAGAGTCGGCTCACAGATACATATAATCCCGTATGAGGACAAGAGTCACATTTCAAGGGACAGTTGGAAAACTCGGCGGTCCAGAAGCACATTATCCATCACATTATTTCACTGACTGAAATAATCCCTTTAGGTATTTTTGGAACTTAATTGCACGTCTATTGTACCTGGCACTGGTCTAGGTATCCAGACATAAGATTTCAAAGAGCTGCCTGTCTGGTGGGATAGAGGTGAGTCTTAGGATTTTCCAGGTATCTCAGAATGTAGACTTCAGGTGAGACAATTTTCTCAAAGAGGCTCTGAATCACTGAGTCAACCAAAAAAGCTATGTTTTCTCAGCCATGCTGTGGAGCCGCCTCTGCATTTAGCCCTCATTCTTCCACAGCAGAGGCAATCCCATCTTTGTTACTGAGGTAACTGGCAGGAATAAGGAGTTCTCCATTTTCCCCGGCAGCCTGAGGTTTGGATGGAGGACTTCATCTCGGGCCTGACTTGGAGATCCGCTTCACTGGGCCTGCCGGGTTTGTGCTGCGAGAACTAGAGGAACAACCGAGACCTGATTCTAAATTAACCTGAGCAGTGGTCTCTTCTACCACCAAATCACCAAGGGATTGTTTGTCAAGGGAGGAGGGACTATAAACCAGACGAACTGATCTTGAGGACTTCACATGGTTCACTTTGTTTTACACGTGGGCCACAGCAACCACAGCAACGCTGGAAGGTTATCTTTATCTTGTGAGGAAACTTAGTAAAGTTAAGTAATTTAACTAATATCACCAGCAAAGAGAGTGTCAGAGTTAGGCTTTCAATCCAAATCTAACGCCTCCTTATCTAAACCACAATCACCCCAGGCAGATTCTTCCTTGCCTATATCTTCCATAGGAACTTCAAGTGACATCCTTATATTACAAGGCCCGTGTTTATATTCAGGGACAGAACATAAGATAGAAAAAAGGAAGTCCCCCCCGCCAAAAGAAAAAAGTATCTCTAATCACTGCAAAAGAGAAGAAAAAAACAGCTAGAATTCCTGAGCTTGTACGAAGAACTGGTTTAGAATGGAGAAGAGGACAGAGGGCTAAAGGGCCTAAGATGCACCAGGTTCCCTAATAGAAGTGGGGAATAAATCAGCCATTGAATGAGAAATAGCCAATCAAATTCAGCCCCATACTTGCAAAACAGTTGCCTGACACTCTAACCTAAAAAAAAGGTTAATTTCTTGTATTTCAGTGTATACATGCCTTGAAGTTTAAGTCTGACCGCTAGGGGATGCTGTGGTCCGCCAAGGGACAGCCGCACAGGGGCCGAGCAGCTCCCCAGAGGCTGTGCTCACAGGCATGAGGGATGCGAGATGGCTTCCAGCATCTTGTCCGTGATGGTAGAGGACGCTTGAAGGGCACCCCTAATGCTAAGGAACTTAGCCACGGTAAACGGAATTTAAACCACTGAGTGCCAGAAATTGTCGTGTCTCACTGGACCATTTTATAGTCCTGGAAAGCAGAGGTTTGCAGGTTTTCCGCAGAAGCAATACATAAACCTGGACTGTCTGCCTTTACTGGCTGCGCTCCCTGACCGAAGCAGCCCACATGTCCGCCTGGCGATACTTTGTGGGCCCCCCACCTGACGGTTGGCAAAGAGAAGTTCTCAGGACACAACATGAGACAGACAAGAACGCAGTTGCTGTCCCCGAGTGAGGGTCCAGAACGAAGGGGTACCCAAAAGCAAACACACCAGGCACAACTCAGAGAACTGATTCTCTGAGTTTTTTTGCCTGCCGATCTGAATTTGGGGAGGAAGGGTCAAGGTGCAATTTCACCTTCCTCTCTGGAACAGGCACCGCAGATAGAGACAGAGATGGGACACTGCCTTTGAGACTTCCTACCGTTTGCCGGCTTCTGACAGCTTTGCCAGGATTCCCCTGCAGGCGTGAGGTGGGGGGGCGGGGGTCCGTGACGTCATCCTGGTCACCAGAAACTTTGGAGGAGGAAAATAATTGTCCTTCTACCCTTCATGGAGGGGGGTGCTTGGCTGAGACCCCTTATTCTCTGGGTCATCTCATAAATGGGCAGATGGCCTCGGTTAATTTAAAAGTCCTCCGCTTTGGCCACTGTCCCTCCAGATTGTCCCTGCAAAGGGCGGCCTGCTTGTTCAGCCTTCAAGCAAAGTGTTATCCGCCCGCGACGCCACGCTGGGCCCTGTCCGTCCCGCCCGGGGCCTAGTTTGTTTCTGAGACGGAACCTGTTTCCACCCGGTTCCGGCCGGGGTCTGGGTCGGACCTAGTGCGTCGCCGGACCCGGTCCGACTCCTGCCGGTTCTCAGACCCGACGCAGCTTCGGGCTGTCGCCAGCCCCAGCCTGGAGAGAGAAAGGCTCCCGTCAGCTCTGAAAGCTCGTGGTGGAAAAGCCGCACAGTCAGGATCCGACGGGGGCGGGGCTGCGGCCCCCGGAGGCCACGAGGAGCCGCGAGCTCAGGGCCCGCGGGGAGCCCGGGCTCTCGCTTCCGTCCCCGGAGCTGTGCACAGATGAACGCGAGACGTGCGCACATCTTAAGGGTTTATTTGAGCAAAAGCTGCTTCCAACAGGGCATCACCCAGTCCAACAGAAAGAAATTCCGAGGCGCCCGAGGAAAGACTTCCGGACAGAAGGAAGCAGCCACACGAAGGAGCGAGCTGGTTATTACGGCGGCGCCCATCAGGCGGATGGCCCGGCCGGCGTTGAGCAGGGGACGCCTCCCCGGCTGGTTTAAGATGCCGGTTCTGGGGAAGTTGAAACTGTGCGGCGATCTTGGTCTGAAGACATGCGGCTAGCATAACTAACAACATTTGGGGCCGTCTGTCTTGTTTCTAAAAGATTCATCAGAAAGCTGCAGATGACTGTGTTCGGGTCTGGCGGTTAATTTTAAGAGAGATTTATCAATCCGAATGTGTTTAGAGGAGAGAGACTATCAAGATTAATAAGAATTTCAGACTTTGTCCTATGATGCATGGTTGGAAGATATAGGAAAATTTGCTCTGAATAAAGAAAAGCCCTTAAAATTTGGTGGTCTTTTCAAACAATATAAGGGGAGAATCTTAAAACCATGAAAGCAGAAACTTTGTACCTTTTTCACCTCTGTTGCAAGCTGGAAGAGTATGTAACACGGAGGAGGTACTCAGCATTTTGTTACACAAATGAACTGAGAAGGGGAACATGTTCTGGTTGGCCAGAAAGGGTAGAATTTGTACTAATTGGGCAGTATGGAATGAAGGGAGACTGATTTGGGCTCAGTGGGAAAGCATATACCGCAGTAGTTAAGATCAGAAGCTCTGATTGGATTGCCTAGGCTGGGGTCTGGCTTTCCCACTAGATTGTCTTGGGAGAAGTCAGAGAATTCCTCAAAAGTCTCTGTTGTCTCATCTCTAATATGGGGTTCATAATAACAAGTCCCTCAAAGGGGAGTTAGCACAATGCCTGCCATACAGTAAGTGCTCAAGAAGTGTTAGCTATTACTGTAATTGTTGTTATTATTATTCATCTTGTAAACCTTTGAGCTCACTAAAAAGGGTCTCCTGGTACCTTAACATTTCCTGTACAGGAGGAGCTTTGCTTCTTCAGGTAACCATTCATTGCATTATTGAATTATCAGGGATTTACGGAACAGATGTACACGATTGAACTAAAATCTGTCAACTTTTAGCTGTAAAAAAATTCCAGAATTATACATCACAGCCCCAGAATAGGAACTCAGGAGTAGTGGCTGGGAACAAGTTTTGTGGACTGAGAAAGGTTCTGTGGCCCCGGCAGCGAATAGAGTAGCAAACATAGCTCCCACCATTAAGCCCCCAGCCCCAGACAAAGGTAAGGACTGCAACCCTCATTAAATGCAGGGACACAGCTGCAGGGAAACTCCAAGAGAGCATGGTCACGGGGCCCAGAGATTTCTGGAGTTTCCTTAATTGGTTCCAGAGTATTTGAAATATGAAGCTATGGGAAGGGAGTAGTGTATCAAAAATATTTTTATCCCATTGGAAAAGTAAACTTGTTTGCAATTAAACATTTAAAAAAAAACTATACTGAGCCTCCTGAGAAATAGAAACTTTGGAAATATTGAACCTTTATTTCCATTTCTCTGACACAATCTACCCCCTATAAAACTTAGCTTATACCCATGAAGTAAAAATAAAATGATTTGCATAATAAAAGAGGCGATTACTTAGAAAGGTGAAAAGCTCTTACCTTTCAAAGCTTTAGTGAGCTTTGCCAACAATTTCCTTTGTTTTCTTTCATTGTTTAAGTGGTAGCTAACTTTTAGATAAAAATGTGGAGTATGTAGAAAATAAAATGATGTCCATGACAAAGTAATAGAAAGATCTTTTGCTTTTAAGCAAATCAATTTGAACTGAAAAACCGACAGACAAAAACAAGTCTAGTTGGAGAGCAGGTCAAAAGTCACTTAGTTGTGTGGAATGCTGTTTGTGGTCATGCACTTTTTAGATGGTTGGGTTACCCATTCTACTCATGGACAAGGAGTTATGAAAAACGAGTATAAATAAAATTAATGCTTTTTTTTCCTTTTATATTCCCTGTTGAAGAAAGTTAAAAGGAATTAGAGAAAGTTGGGAACCAGGAGTCGTCAGGGGAAGAGTTGTACTAGAAGTAGAAACAAAATAAATACAAAGAAAATAAGAAAAATATATACTTGTGGAAATTGGAGAGGAAAAAGGTAGAAAGAGCCATGTACACTATAGAAAAACTTAAAAAACAGAGATAAGCACCTTAATAGAAAAAGAATGGGAAGCAGAAAGAAAAACAGTGAACTTAAGTAAGTTTTATAGTGAACATGGTTCTGGAAGGGCACATTCAAAGTAAGTTATTTGAATGGCTCATGCTGAATTTCAGTTTTTTAAAGGCTCTTTTGTTTACTGAAATAAATTGTATATGCTTTTCTTTAAAACTTACAACTGTATTTTTGAAATAATGTTTTTGGGGTTCTAGAAACCTTTAAAATTTTCAAAGAAATGGCTTACTAGAAATTAACTGCCAAAATGAAAAATGTGACGTAGCACTAGATGGAAGTTAATGAAGAATAATAAAGATGATAGGAACTGAGCCTTACTGAGTAATTCTATGTGCCAGACCCTACATTAAATGCTCCCCATGTAGTGTCCCAAGCACTCCTCACAAGGACCTGTGAGATCCCCATTTCAGAAATCAGAAACTGAGATTCTCACCCACCCAGGGTCAGCACTGACCAAACTGCCGAGGTTCCTATCAGTCAGTCATCTCACACTATCTAGCCATGGTTCACTGATCACTGCTACCCCTCTTCCTTCCGTAACAGCACGTGCAGTCTCCCCTTCTTTAAAAATGATCACTCCAGGTCTCCTGAAACTACAGTGCTCCCTGGCGGCTGCATTCAATCTCTCCCTGAGTTGCTCTCATTGTGTCACCTCCTCACAATTCACACACACACACGAACACGCATACACATTATTCCCACATACTTGCCTCTGTCTAACTTTTTCTTGGCTTATCAGCATGAAATGTCACCTCTTCTGGGAATGCTTTGTTAATCCCCTACAACTCTTAAGTGTCCGCTTGCTTTTGCTCCTGTTATGTGCTTGCCAATTTCTAAGACGTCTAAGATTTCTGCTGTGGCAGCAGCCCTGGACTGCCCAAAGTTTTCTTGTGTTTCCTCTTTTCTTGGTTTCCACATCATCTTAAGCACTCTTAAATATTGGACTGGGGTCAATAAATCTGTTTCATAGTCATATACTATATCCCCTTCCCCAACCCATGGTCACCAGAAAACTACTGGTATCTAGCAGGGCTAAAAAGTGAGGACTGACAAAACTTTCTGTTCGTGGGGGTTGAATTTATTTTCCTCAGTTCTTGTTCCCACCACAAGAAAGAATTGAAGGGCAGAGACACAGTAGTGCAGCCGAGTGAAAGTTTTATTAGAAGTTACACACTTAGAGAGAAAGCACAGGCGTCCTCAGAGAAGAGGCCCACTGAAAGATTGGGGGTTCCCTCTTTTAAGGATTTTTCAAGAATGTGACAATGGGCCAGAGAGTATGAGCTTGTCAAGTGGTCTCAAGATGCTTATCTCTGGTGAGAGACACTGTCTCCTCTATTATCAGTCCTCCAGGTAATTCTGCAAACTTAACATTTAAGAAATTTACTGGTCCATTTCCTCCCCAGGATAGCAGCCTCTCTCTGGGAACTTATCAGTCAGGACCACCTGCCCTGCCCCCAAGGTGGGCTGAATTATTGCCTGTTTGCTAAAGAATATGTGAGGAATCTTACTTCCTAACTTTCTGGTTTTTAAAATGGAATCTTAGCTTTAAGATGGAATCTTTCCTGTTCTCACCCTGTTGTTTAATCTGGGCTTTTTCATCAAAAGCAGGGAAAGTAACCACGAAGCTTGTCTCCTGCCCTGGTTACAAAAGTACTTGATTAGGGGCTGGAGGAGGAGAAAAAACGGCATATAGGTTAAGAACAGCTGGGCCTTTTTGGATAAAATTGCAGTATTTCCAGAATCTCTCCTGGCCTGAGTGCAGCTCTGTATCAGTAGGTGTTTCCAAGGGGTGGACAGTAGCCATCTCCATGTCAACAGGTGATCACAAAGGTCCGGGGAGCAAGGCCATATCTGGATGAGAGAGGTTTGGTGTGGCCCCTTTTTGTAGCTGGGGCACAGGGGACACATGCAAGCAGAAGTGGACAACTGCTTGTGAGCAACAGGTTTCTCTCACTTTATTTCTCCCTTTGACTGATTTCAGCTTCAAAGGTGATTTGCCCCAGGCTGGGAACATATTTCGCCCCCAGAGTTACAGCCTTGTAGCGGGCTCAAGTAAACCTTACAATGGCATGAGCTTATTGACACAGTGAAGACGTGGGCTGTGCTAGATTCTTTCCTTTATCTGGGGAATATCCAGATATTCTCATTTACTCCTGGCTTTTGGAACTTCAACTGATTAGCTCATTAACTCTGTGAGTCTTCTCTGGCTCTCTGGTTTTATCTGGTTAACTCTTTGAGTCCCTTTTAGTAGGCTTTACTGGCCTTATTTTCTCTCCACCCACTCGTATCTACTTTTCTGCCTAACATTTCCACAGAACTTGGACAGTGGAAACTGTTCCTAAAACATGCTCTCTCTCAAATCCATTTCCTGAGCAAGTGCCCTCCCAGGCCCAGTGTCACTTCAGGTGAGGTCAGTGTGACGGACTAGGAGCTCCGCCTGCCCGAAGTTACCCTGC